TGACTGCCAGGCAGACACTCTGTGCCAGCGCTGCGAGCTGTTGCTGTGCTCCCTGCTCCCTTACTTCACTGTGGACCAAGGTCCTTGCAGCCAGTTACTTCCTCTTAACCCTTTTCTGACACTGACACACACACAGTTTTGTTCATTCAGATCCAATGGGTTATAAATATTTGCCATTATTTAGAGGGGTGGGTTACAAATGATCACTGGTTAGAGTAAGAGGGGAAAAAAAAACCCTGCTAGCCTCAGATGTTTCTTGTTGGTGCAGGTTTTTATGTGATTTGTTATGGTATATGTATGCTTCTGTTCTTGTTGAAAGTATTATAGGTATACAATATTCCAGAGTACTAAAGGAAACCACAAGAAGGACTTTGATAAAAGTTTTTATGGTGTCTGAAAAAAAAAGGCAGAGACTAAAATAATAAAGAGAAAGAAAAAGAGAAGGCTGTCTGAAGTGAGAATGACTGGCTGGACCAGAGGGGCAGACATAGGAACTGAGGAGTATAGCAAGTTGTAGAAGGACAGAGGAGACACAAGATTTGAGCATGTTATGTTAATTCTGGTGTTTTCTTCATTAAAAATAAAATAAAACAAAGCTGATTCACTACAAAATGTTTGTGTTGGGAACGTGGTCATACTCTTTAAAGGAGAGAGGGGGAACAGACCACTGCCTACTGCACCCCTGTACCCTATCTTTCCTTCTCCAGGCAACTTGGAGAAAGAGTTCTTTTCTATCCTGGCACCTTACCCCCAGGCACCCCAGGATGAGAGGTCCTAGAGGGCAGAAAGGAAGGAATGGAGGAGCCCCCAACATGTTTCTAACTGTTCCAGTCCTCTTCACCACTGAGGAGAGGGACCAGATTATAACAGAGGCTCAGAAATTGGTTCCAGGCCCAGATGGAAGACCCGCCACCAATGCAGACCTCATAAATGTTGGGTTTCCTGTGATGTGACCCAATTGGGATTTCAACACGGAGAGAGGTAGGGAGAGGCTCAAACTCTACCTCCAGACTACAATGGAGGTGTGTCTGGGCAGCTGCGAGGTGGCCCATAAATTTGCCCAGTTAGTCAGGTCCTCCAAGGGCCTGAAGAAACACCAGGAACATTCCTAGAGAGGCTGATAGAAGCTTGTAAGACCTATACACTTATGGATGCAGAAAGAAGCACCAGTCAGCACCAGATACCCACCGTAAATTGCAGAGACTCGAAGATTTTGAAGATAAGAGGTTGGCTGAACCTTATCTCAGTTGCTGAGAAAGTGTTCAGTAATAAGGAAACCCCAGAAGAAAGTAGACAAAGGGGCTCACAAAAGCTTTAGAAAGACAGATGCAAGGGCTTACCAAGATCCTTCTAGTTGCATCAAGCAGCCCAGCGGTTAGGAGACAGACAAGAGCCTTGGGAGACTCACTGCATAAAGGAAAGGGCCAGAAGCAGGGACTGTGCGAGAGGCCTGGTCTGCAGAAAGACCGATGTGCTTACTGTAGGAAGCTGGGTCACTGGAAGAAGGAATGCCTTGAATGACAGGGCTCAAGCGAAGGTACTGGAACTGGAAGAAATGAGTGACTGAAGGAGACAGGGCTTGGAGCCCCTCTCCAGGAGCCTTGGGTAACCCTAAAGGTGGAGAAACCCATAGATTTTCTGGTAGATACCAGAGCACAACACTCCATTCTAAAACAACCCCTAGGCAAAATGTCACCAGAACAGTCCCGGGTGCAAGGGGCTACAGAGATGAACAGGCACTCATGCACTGCTTGAAGCTCAATAGACACAGGAAAGGGCCGAGTGACCCACTCTTTTACGGTCATCCCTGAGTGCCCATACCCACTTCTGGGAAGAGACAATAGAGACCTGCTCCAGAATTGACCCAAACAGAAACCTGGGCTGGCAGCCCCCCCCCCAATAATACAGCTGAAAGCTGGGGCAATGCCAATGTATGTCAAACAATACCCAATGCCCAGAGAGGCCAAGCAGGGGATCACTTCCCATATTAGGTGCCTCAGAGGCCTGGGTATTTTGGTCCCTTGCCAGTTAGCCTGGAACATGCTCCTATTGCCAGTTAAAAAGCCCAATTCCAATTACTACAGACCAGTGCAACACCTGCCACTGGCTCCAGCCAGTCAGCCTATGCCTGCTTTCCAATGGGCGTATCCAGAGGACGGATTCAATGGACAGCTGCTGACCTGTGCAGAGCACAATGCCCGTCTGCGCTCTATGCGCTACCATACAGTTCGATAGCTTTGGGCAAGGGGCTGGAGGTTGAAACACACAAAGATTCACACAGAGACAGAGAGACAGGGACATGGACCTCTAGTCACTGGTAAGAAGCCCCTTATTCAATAGCACCACGGAGGCTTATATACCCAACAGTCAGGTGGGCCAACAGGTGAAAACCTTATCTTCTGATCCTCAAGGCCAAGGCAACACGTGCTCTCGTGAAGCAGAGCTGGTAAACAACTTTGACCCAGCTTTCAGTAACTCGAATCAGAGGGAAAGTAACTCTAGCAGGGACGAGCAGCTGGAGGCCAGGACTCCAAATGGTCCCAACAGACCAAGGGTTCAAGAACTCTCCTATCATCTTTGATGAAGCACTCCATATGGACTTGGTGAATACCAAGCCCACCCCAAAATCAGTATGTGGATGACCTCCTGATGGCAGCTGACACATTGCAAGCCTGCAAAGCTGCCACTGATTAATCCCTCGTCTCTGGAATCCCCCTAACTTCGCTTGAAAGAAGCTTGTGACCTTCTTGGGGGGTGGGGGAGTGCTCTTTTGCCACCCAGCACTGGAATCAATGAAGTGCTCTTGTTATTGCATATGTGGTTTTTGGTCTTCTTTGGGGGTTTTTCTCGGACCCTAACAAGTTTGACCTCTAGAACCACAAAAACAAAAAATAAAAACATGACTGCACTTGAATTAAAGAAGACAGCTAATAATGAGTATGCAGGGCCTGTAATTCACTGTGGCAATTGCAGTATGGGACACATTTTTTCTCTACTACAGGGATGAGCCTGGCAAGCAGATGGCATAGCTATTAATAGATCAGACAGCCTCCCCAGGTGCACAAGAGGAACAAGACAAAGTTCTCAGAATCCAATTACCATTTTCTCCTGACCCCTTTCAACTTGTTCACAGCTTATCATATGCATCTCGCTAGGAAAAGCTGTTTCTTCTATTATACCCCCACATACTGATCCCCAATGTGCAGGGCTTTCCCCCCAACAGCTATCAACTCTTCGAGAATCTGGATAGCGATAGCAATGCTAACACTACCTAGAGTTAGTGTAGCCCACTGGTTCAGGGATAAGTCCCACAAGACCACCCCCACTTCAGATTACATCACAACCAGTGGGTCCCCAGACTACACACACTTGCAGCCTGCTTGGCTACAAATCCAAGTTTCTATAACCTATCAAGGTTAGCTTTAATAGCTGCTTGCCAGACTAGAATCACCTTTAGAACGGTCCTGATCACCTTGGCTGATGTGGGAAGGCCCACCCTGACTGTAGGCTGCACCTTCTTCTGGCAGCCTAGGTATAAAGTGGATGTCAGCAGGAAGACACCTTGCCTCCTGCTCAGCTGGCCTTCCCTCTTGCCACCAAGCTGATTTGCCCCGCTGCTGCTGCTGCTGGTTCGTTACCAGCATTTCCAAGCTATCATCATGGACTAGGGACCAGATCGGACTACTGAGGCCCCCTACCTTGTGGACTAAGTAACTGTTGCCCCTCCAGTTAGAATTACTATAGGACCACTCGGATTATTGCAGCATCTAGTCTCAAGAACGAAGTAACTACTGGGTTCACAGATTCTCCAGTGTGATCTTGTTGTTCTTCCTATTCTAAAACCTACTTAAACTCATAAATATTATTTTTTATCCCACTGAATCTACCCTTTTAGAGAATTCTGACCAATACAAGCCCATTATTAGGAGTTTGGTAATTTTGCTAGGACAACTTAAAAAAACGCAGGAAAGCATTGGATTCGGCTTTAAGAGTGTATACAAATCAGCAGCTGGATAAAGATGTTGCCTCAAAGGTCTCAGGCACAGGAACGTCCATCTACATAGAATTGGAGTGCATCACTTTCCTGGCATATCAATGTTTTCCAACCAGGAAGCTCTCCAAACTTCACAGGTAAAGGATATAACACAGACGCAGCCCATCGGTGTGATCAACAATCTCCAGCCCCAATCCAATCCCTGGATCAGCTGGAAATCGCAACTTTCCAGTCATGGCTTTGTCTTCCTGGCAACCAGCTCCCACTTTGAAGACATCCAAGAATCACCTCACTATAATCTGATGGAGAGGAAATTCAAAGGCACTTGAGAACTACCGTCAGGAGCTAGGTCCAACACAAGATGTACCCATCACTTAGGACACTACAAGGGTCTTAGAAACTCTGAACGGAGAACTGGGAGGGAAGATGAGGCAGACAGGCTGGCTGATGCCGAATGCGTTTTCGGCAAGCTGTTCCCTAAGGACACACGGAAAATCAGTAAGCAGATGTAACATCCCAGAGGGCTTGGGTTTCCTCATCGTTCCCAACATCAGATCTGTGCACACGGCACCTGCAGTGCTGTCCACTTCACACAACTAGACGGACTTTTCATTGCACACCCCATACAGGGGCTGGACATGGCAGGGGGTTTTTAAATTAATTTTAAGTTAATGTACGAAGAAATGAGTCCCATGACTACATCTTCATACCCTGTGTGACATTATACTTTATTCTAACCCCCCCTCCCCCGGCTCTTTCCTGTTCTTGCTGCCCGCTCCCCTTGGCAGCTCCCAGATAACCCTCCCTTCTGCTCTCCTATCCCACCACCCCATTATCTTCTGTTTCTCCCTCCCCTCACTTCTCAAGATCTCCTTTCTGTCATGATCTGCACTTCATACATGTAATTTCAACCTAGGTTCCACATATGAGATCAGATATATCGTTCTGACTTTGGCTTATGCACTTGCTGTGAGTCCCAGCTTTATCCCCATCCCTACAGGCAGTAGACTTTGAAAATACATAAGCTTTATTCAAATAAATTTTTGTTTCCGTAAGAAACAAGACCAGAAAATGGAAGCTTAAAGACATTACACATGAAATGTCAAGACTATTCTCTATACCCTACTGCCACTCAGTCCCGAGCCTGCAAAAGCCTCAGGTTAGGACATAGCGGGTGAGTCCTCCTCCTCGAACCTCTGATAGTCTCTGGCAATGCCGCAAGATGTTCAAGATCGCGTACAGCCTCTTGTCAGTTTTCAAACTCGTGAAGTCCTTTAGGTCAGCTTCCACGAAGAAATAACGACCTGGAAAGAGAAACACCAGGTTCTAACTTCCACGAGTCCCATTCTCACAGACGTTTGTATGGAAGCACCTTGTGAACGGCTGAGTCCTTCTTACTGACCCTATCCAAATAAAAACAGCGGAAAAGGGTATTCCTGCTAAAACAATGCCCCAGCGACTGAGGCAAACTGACATTGCTGGGGAGCCCTGCGATCAAGGGCAGTGCTGGTGTGTCTTAACAGCTCACTTCAGAGACATTCTGCAGAGATGGTAAACAGAAAGGAACCCACAGCAAGTCCATCATTTAACTAGAAGACCTTGGGTGAGCTGAGGACTCTTTGTCTAGCCTGCAAAATGGGTCAAGAGGACTAAAGAGGACTAAAGCTTTAAGAGCTGTCCAGCACACAGTGACGTGTCAGCATAGCTGGGGACGAACAACTCTCTAGATGCACCATTTCCTAGAATTCCAGGCTTGTCCTCCTCCAAACATGCCCTCCCTCATAGATTCCACTTTACCTTTTGTGTCCTTCGTTTCTTCATTAATAAATCTTTGGTAGTGATTTCTCTTCACGGAAGTCATAGATGCTTTTGGTTGATGCATAATCTTGTATTTACTAACCACTGCCTTATTAATTTCTTTAATAACATCATTAATTTGACAATATGTCAAACGGGATTTCATGTACCTGGTTTTTAAAAAAAGTATGATTATTCTTTTAATATTTTATATTTCTATTTTCTTTATCATATATTTAAATATTTACTCCTACTACTTTTTTAAACAATAAAATAAGGTAAAACAAAAACTTAGCACATTGGAATTGGATAGAAACAGAAGGAAAAGAAAAGGCACAAGAATCAGAGATCTACTCATTCGCACACTCAGGGATCCCAAAAAACACTAAACTGGACAATTTATACACAGAGGACCTGGTACAGACCCATGCAGGCCCTGTGTGTGCTGCCTCAGTTTGTGAGTTCAAACGTGCGTCAGCATGCTGATTTAGAGGCCTTGATTCCTTGGTGTCTTCCACCCCCTCTGGCTCTCCCACTCTTTCTACCTCCTCTTCAGTAGGGTTCCCTGAGCCCCCAGGAGAGGGATCTGACCGAGATCTCCTGTTGGAGGCTGAGTGTTCCCACGTATGCCGTTATTCTTTAGAAATCGTCGCTCACACTTTTCCTTTGAGATGATAGTGTAATTACATTTCTCCCTCCCCCATGATAGTATTCCTGCAAACAGTGAAAGGACCTAAAATGCTGGACTTTCTGCTAGAAAAGTGGCAGGCACCAAACCACAAAGTGACACAATGGCGTAATGGCACATGCCCTTAACCTCAGTGCTTAGGAGGAAAGGCGGAGGATCTCTGCGAGTTCAAGGCCAGCTTGGTCTATATAATGTGTTCTAAACCAGCCAGGGCTACATAGTAAGACCCTGTCACAAGCAAACACTTCCTGGCCTTTCTGTTTCAACATTACATGTCACAATTCATGCAATCAAGCTTTATGACTTAAACAATCATGTATGTTGATTAATAGTCGTGAACATTAGAACTTATGCTCAGTACTTACGCAGGAACACCACTGAATTCATCAGTCGTTACAAACTGCATTTCCTTAATTACTCTCTGTTCTTTGGGAGGCTTCTTTGCCGGGACAGGTTTCTCAGCGCTAACTGGCTCTCTAGGATCCGGATCAGCTCTGTTAGTCCTACAGAGCAGAGACGAACATACACAGGTAATTGTTAGAATCAAGCCACACACAACACTTTTTTTTCTAATCTGGGGGGGGGGGGACACTACAACTGTGTGACATACCCTGGTTTAATAATTTCATAACCAATGTTTTCTTCCTAACCCTACCCTTGGTTATGAAGATCTAAATTGTGGGAGGAATTTTGAAAATTAAGTTCCTAAATCTTCAGAGTATGACTGTTTTCATTTATATACTCAAGACATGTCATGCACAGAATATACACACCAGTAGTCCCGTTTGCTTCTCAAAGTCAGCATATGTAAAGCTGTGCTAACTCCAAACAGCTTCTCTCCCACTTCCCTAGCTGTGCACTGGGAAGCAGCAGCATCTTCCGTCCATCCCAGTGTCTTCTGTTAGTTCTACTACTAGTCACTACCCACTGCAGCCTCGTTCTGGCAAATGGAGACTAGAAATAGGCTGGGGTCAACTGCCAAGACAGAAGAGACAGCTGCTCCCACAATGGCCGAAATGTTCCAAGAAAGACACCAGATCAGAAATCTGTAGATCCAACACAGAAACAAGAAAAGGAATGCCCCAGAAAGACAACAGCAGGGGACCAGACCCAGAGCGCAGCAAGCATGACTGGTTGTTGTGGGCTGTCCATAAAATCTGAAATACTACCTTAGCTGTGTAGTAGAATTATGGTAGGAATTACAATAAATCCAACAGTGATGACACATTCTTTGGTGAATGCTAACATGACCTCCACCGTTAAACTGGCTGACTTGTCCCTGTACCTGACTCTTTCCTCGAATTTCTCCTCCTGATCATGTGCTAAGAATGTGTCGATGACTCCTGCAGGCCCAGCTCACTGTATCCACTGAAAACATCTGCAACCTTTCAAAACTGCTTTGACCTGACCTGGATAGCAGAAACTGGGCTACAGTTCTGTTCTGCCGGCCACATTCCTCTGGATAGCCAATGTCCAGCCCACTCTACATCCCTGACAAATAACCACAAGGCCTCTTTTCCCTAATATTCACTCATGACTTTCCCAGGCAGTCTTCTCTTCTTGCAGGGAAATCCTAAGCATTTTCAAGGCTAGAACAGCCATTACCTCTACAGAGGGAGGGGCTGCATCAGAAGTGTTTTACAGTACTGGTAATACACTGTTCTGAATTTAGCTCATACATACATGGAAACCGACTATTCTTCAATTTTTACATATACTACTATAAGCACTTTTCTATATATGATACACTTCAAAAATTAAATAAGCCATGGAATGTTTGTATGCACTGAAAGCACCTTTTAGAAACACAATTTTGGTGTCAGGCTTGGAGAGATGGGGGTCGGGCATGACACAGAAACTCTTATATACAAAGACAAAAAAATTATAGAGGATCTTATTCAGAGCCAGGCAATAGGAACAAGGAAGAAAAGACACAAAAACCCAAGACATACTGGACAGCTGGGAGCTAAGAGAACAGAAACAGTGAAGACAGAAGGCTCTGCTGAGGCCAAAAAAGTAAAGGGTTGGATACATAGGTAACAAAAGAATCACTAGGTTCAGCCTTGGATGCGCAAAGTTTGAGAGAGAGATTTCCAGCAGGCCACCAGAACAGCAGAACTAAACATCAAGAGCAGACCCGGATGTTTCAGAGCACTGACAGCTGGAGTCAGGCAAGCACACAGGAGCCACCACTTATGGGAGGGAGGAGGGAAAGGAGGCAGCCACAGCTGAGGATGCACAGGGCAGCAGGGACACAGCACCTAGACACAGGCTGGGTGAGTGAGGAACAGACACGGAGCTGAGGACCAACCGTCTCCCTGCAACCTTCAAGCCGTTGTTTTCTCAAGAGCAGGGCAGTGGTAGCTAAAAGCCAGGCATGAGGGCCTCTGGGAAAACGGCAGTGTAAAGCTGATGGCTTCTCCAGGTGTTTTTCAGGATTCCCTGAGCTTAGCTTACCATAAAGGCAGAGGTTTCTGGTTCGCAAGGGTCAATGGAGATACTACACAGAGGTCAAAACCTTGGTCATGTCCAGAGACCTTCACAGTCCACCTGGTAGAGGCATGAGACTAGTATCTGGTGGAAGGAGATAGTGATGCTACTAATCACCCTACTCTCACAGCAAAGAACGTTCTGGTCAAAGCTTAAAAGTCTAAGAAAGGGGGAGGGAGGTGGAAGAGTGTACAAGGGAGCCTTGACTTGGGAGAAGGGCTGTTTTCCTCAGAGGTGCAGAATGAGGAAACTGGAGGAGACAGGGGAAGTATGGTTTCTATTGCCAGAAACAAGAAACGGAATGAACACTGACAAAATATTCAAGTACGTGGCAGAAAAAGACTGAGGTATTTGTTTCCACGAATACCTCAAGACAGCAAGAGTCAGACTATACTTACAAGCTCTCGGCGGCTGTCACCTGAGGCAGATAGGAAGGAATGTGTTCTCTGAGATGCTCCACAGCTTTGAAATCGCCTTCAAGAGAGTCACAGAGCTCCTAAGTGTTAAAAACACTTGTGAACAAGACTTCCTCCTCTACACGTGTGATGTGTGTACAGTCAGAAGACTGTGATACTCACAGTCCTGGTAAGGGCTGAAGACACAGAATGCAATGAGAAAGCACAAACCTAGCAACTCAGATGAACAACAAAATAACAATGATGAGCTTAAGGGCCGGGTGTAGCTAGTGCACTTGCCTACCCAGTACAAGGCCCTGGGCTGGATCCCAACACAGGTAAGAAAGGGGGGTGGGAGAGGGGAGCCCTGTAACTTCTAGCGCTGCTTCTAGATGATACTTTTCCCTATTGGTTTTTTTTTTCTTTTTTCAGAGAAGAAGCACTACAATCAATCACATTAGAATCACGAGATCAAGTTGAAGTTTAAGTCTTTCCCAAACACTTTAACCTTGGGAAGCAACCAAGAAATAGATGAAATATTGATGTTTCTGAACCTAGCAAATTGCTCTTACTGAGTTTAGCACACGTTCCCAGTGCTGCCTATGAAATAGCACCAGAGGGACCAAGGTCAACTCAGATGGGGGGCGTTCATATGCTTTTAGTTTCTGAGTTTTAAGTTTAGGGTTTTTATTTGGTGTGTTTCAGTGTGTATGTGTAAGTGTGTGTATAGTATGTGGGAATATATATATACACACTGTACACACACACACATGTAGTATACACTCGGCATGTTCCTGGACAGGTGGACACTGATAAACCAACACTGTTTTCCATTTTGAGTCTACAGCATTTTCTTTCCAAGAACTAATTATGCTCACGGCCACGTTTTACTTTCGACTGGGGATTAGCATAAGCATAAGTTGCCCATGCCTAGAGCTGACGAGTCTTCTCAGACCGTGAAGCTGCAGGCTCACCCTCCCTGGGCACTACAATGGTGCCAGCACGACGCGGTGAGGGCGCTGGCTGTTTTCCTCATCAGGAAAGCACACAAGCACTCTGCACAGCTGAAGTCAGCGAGAAGTCTCACTTATAACACAAGTGCACGTGAGGCCAAGCTTTCCTTTAATGAGCAGACCTTGTACTTTATAGAAACAAACATCGGAACGCAGCTAAGAACCAGTCTCCCTTTATCCTTTAAATGAGGATGCTGAGACCTCAAGAGGTGAAGTGGTTTTCCAGCGTGGCAGAGTACCAAGGTAAGGACCTTTCTCTCTCAGGGCAGGTCTTCTCCGCTCAGCATTCTAGTAGGGCATCATCTGTCTACATTAAACCCACCTACAAATATTCTTCAGAAACTTTCCTTTTAGTAAGTTTATGCTATTGGCCATAAAGAAAGAGTTGCTACTCTGAAACCCCTTTATACTGAGAACACAAATGTTACTTTATAGACTAATTTACAAATCCAAGAACTCTACAAACAAAGGATCCTTAAAAATGACCTGGTCAGGCGGAGGTGGTGCACACCTTTAATCCCAGCACTCAAGAGGCAGACAAGCAAGATCTCTGTGAGTTCGAGGACCGCCTGCAGCCTGGTCTACAAAGCTATAGGGAAACCCTGTCTCAAACAAACAAACAAAAAACCCAAAACAACAACAAACAAAAAAACTGGTGATTAAGAAATTTGTATCTATGCTTTCTGCTTTCCAGTTAGGAAGGCATTACCTTAAGTGACCTGTTGGTTTGTTCTTGATACTGAATTTCCAATTCAAATTTATTTAGAAGTTCATTTATTGTAATGATCTCATCTCCTACTTTACTTAAGGTGGTCTTCAAGGCAGGTTCTTGGCCTGTTATAAAGAAAGAGAAAATGGAAAACAAAGTGTATATAAAACCAAAACAGGCAAGTGCCAAGTAAACTTGGGATCAACAGCTATGCTTTAGAAAAACATTTGCGTTGGGAAGGATAAGTTCTTCATCCCGAGACCTGTCTCCATAGATAACTTTTTTTTTGTGGGGCGGGGCAGTTCAAGACAGGGTTTCTCTGTGTTGCTTTGGAGCCTGTCCTGGAACTAGTTCTTGTAGACCAGGCTGGCCTCAGACTCACAGAGATCCACCTGCCTCTGCCTCCCAACTGCTGGGATTAAAGGCATGCGCCACCACCGCCCAGCTCTCCATAGATATAACTTTAAACCTCCTCTGTCTTGTTTTGTTGTTAAATGACAGGTTCATGCTAAGCGGTAACCCAGTCTGGCCTCAAATTTAAATCCTCCTGCCTCAGCTTATACAATGCAGGTCTTACAGGTGTATGCCACCAGACCTTGTTTAACTTTCATTTCAAAGCAGTAAGGAAGAGGAGGAGGAGAGAGGCAAGTACAACATGCTTCCTGCTGCTTTTATTTCTGGCAAATCCACTAAATATAACAAAACATCTGGAAATAATGAACACCTGTATATAAGCATTCACGAGGGAGAGGTCATTCTTCTTGGGCTGACATTAGGTGGGACTCACAGACACCAAGTAGGGTGTGTGAGCAGAGGAGACAATAATCCCAGTCATTAGAGAGGAGGCTTTTGGTCTCATGACCGCCCACCCTTGACCTTACTATGGATAAGAGCCAATGACTTTGAGACCTCAAACCACAGGTGTTAGAAATGAAAAATCTCAAGTGAGGCTGTTACACTGCTTCAGAGGACATATGATTAAAGTGTAACCCGAAAAACTTAAAAGTGACAGGGAGATGAACTCATGTTATACTGCCTTTTCAATGTGTTTATTTATATAAAGGGGCAGAGTCTCCGGGAATTTGTAATTATAAGTTTGGAATTCATATTCACACCATCCCCAGGACTCAAAACCTTCAGTCAGAGATAGAAACAACAACAAAAACACAGACTGGGTGCCTGGGAGAAACAAAGACAAGACATTTTTATAAACAGGGTGTTTACACTTCATGTATCTAGCACCTCTCTAAAGGGATTGGAAAACCTTAAGTTCCTTCTTCCCTACAATTCAGAAGTGATGTAGAATAAGCAAGATTACTCAGCAGGTAACGTAATCTACTGCCAAGCCTAACTAACAACCTGGTTTTGATCACAGAGGAAGCAGAAAAGCAACTCCTGCAAACAAAGACAAAATGTTATTTTAAAAGTAACTTTAAAAGCTGTAATGCCAGTCTGGTATGGGATTGGGCACTCTTTTACTCCCAGCACTCAGGAGGCAAAGCGGAGGCAGAGGCAGGAGGATGACTGTGAATTCAAGGCCAGCCTGGTCTACAGAGTTCCAGGACTGCATAGAGAGACACTATCACAAAAAAAAAAAAAAGGAATTTTTATATGTGCTTCAAACGACCAGACAAGGAAACACAAAGAAGTGAGGAACATTACCATCCATATCTATAGATTGTGTGGAGACAAAGGGAACTAGCGGATGCTCATGGCCTGAAGTCCAAGAGAGCAACAACTGTTACAGGGGTTGCTGCAAAGACAACTACATGAGAAGACAAGGGAGACTTAACATTGCATCTGGGAATTAGCAAAACTCTTGTCAAATGCCAGCTACTAATCTCTGTGAGGACCAGCGCCATTCTTTTTTGTTTTTTTTGAGAAGAGGCCTCACTACACAGCCTTGGCTGTCCTGAAATTCGGTACTTAGACCAGGTTGGCCTTGAACTCAGAGATCTGCCCGCCTCCACCTCCCAAGGGCTGTGATTGACGACCTGGGTCTGATAAGTTAATGTTAAAAGGGTACCGATGTTTGTACCAAGAATAATTTTAGAAAGATGAGCTAACCGGCTGGATATAGTATCTGTCCTGACCACCACTATCTCAAAGGAAAAAAATTAGACATTTACACTTTAGTAACACAAGCAGCTCAGCAAGTTCATACTTGTTAGGTATCTGGTAAGCTATGGCAGTCAGTGGGAGGAGCTACTAGACTTTATTAAACAGGCAGTGGAAACAAATATTCTTCTCATTTACTAATGACAATGGTCTAGCAGACTCCCCTACTCCTGCCAGACTTTGGTGGGGTTGCTTGAATCCAACTTTATAGACCCCCAAATTAGGTTTATCCAACCATAATCCAGCCCTCATAAAGAGAACCTAACGAAAGCTAACCATTAAAAATCCAATTTCTTTCTTTTCTTTTTGTTTTGAGCAATGTTTCACTATGTAGTTCTGGCTGTCCTGAAGCTCACTCAGTAGACCAAGCTGGCCTCAAATTCACAGAGGTCACCTGCGCTTGTCTCTGACTCCCAAGTGTTGGAATCAAAGGTGTGTGCTGCAATGACGATCAAAATTTTTTCAATAAACGTGGAAAAGAGGTTATACGGGTGGAAAGGCATACAGTGGGAATTCAGACTGAGAACCATCATTCCCCCTCCCCCGAGTGTTCAGAAGATAGATGACTTGGGCATCTTCTGAGTCTTGGTCTCTTTGAGTATAAAATGAGAGGACTTGCTATGTTGAGTTCAGATGTTTTTGATTTAACTTTCTATAGAATGTGAACCATGAACCACAAAATAAACTGGTTCCTTTGTTAGACATTCTCAAATAAGTACTGAAAACACCAAATATCTAGGAGGGATATTCAACAGAATTTCATTATTTCAAAGAAAAGTAAAACCGTAAACTATCAATCCACATCACAAACTACAGCAAAAGCTCCAGTCTTTCCAGAAGACAGAGCACAAAGTTGGTTTGTTGGGGTAGTAGGTAGGTCCTTTCAGCTCTAGAACAAAAGATGCTTCAGATCTTATTATTGGACCTATATTTAAGGAAAACGTTAGTAAAGTTAAATATTCCCCATTACTTAACGTCGCCTCTGCATTATTTGAAACAATGACACTGGAGCGTTTTGAAAAATCACTATTGGAAATCTAAAATTACCTTACTAAGAGACACTCATGAGAGGACAATAATCAAGATGCATTGTGTGTTCCCCAAAGCAGTGAGTTGATTTTGCTTACCGAGATTTCTTATCGACAGAATTTTCTTAATATTGTCAATCTTCTCATTAACGTAAGAGCATAGCTCTTCTAGATCTGAGGCCATCCTCCAAGCAGCTGAATAAAACATACAGAAACGCTTTTTAAAAGAAAGTTACGTAAAGCCAAATTTCCGTTCACTTTCAAAGCCTAAAAATAGTAAACAACATTGCTTTGAAAGAACACAATTTGAGGGCTTTTTTACCCCTCAATTCTACAAACATTCAGCGTCTAACAAACACCCAATGGTAACATGTCTTGAAGGCTCCTGCTGGTTATCTAGACACATTAAACCAGAGCTGCCATCATCTTCGGGGAGTCGAGGTCTCATATTTTGGGTGTAAGATGGAGCGAAAAGTCCTTGCAAGGATAGGTGAAAAGATGCCGGTCTGCGCAGGCGTGACATCGTCAAGTTTATGTTGGAGAACCGTGCAAAGCAGTTACCAAGCACAAAATCGTAAAAGAGATATCATAACGTTTACGATTTTGCGCAGATCCTGGATGGCCGCGCCTGGCTGGAAACCGAAGTCGGAGAAGCGGGAAGCCTTCTCTCCGCGCCGCCCGGTCCCCCCACCTGCTAAGCGATGCCTCCGGCGGCTTCGGGGACAGGGACCTCGAGGGATCTGGTAGCAAAGACGCTTCGCTGCGGCTGGGGAGTGAATGCACCGGACTACTGCCAAAACGCTGAACCCTAAACGTTGCTTACAGAACTAAAATTCAAACTGCCCGGCAGCCTTGGCGCCCCGCAAGCGCGCAAGCGCGTTCCTCAACTGCGCAGACTCTGTTGGCAAACGAGTTTCCGCCCAACTCGGCAGCGTCTGGGCGGGGCCTGGAGGCGGGATCAAGAGGCGGGGCCAGGGCGAGGTCGGGAGGGAGGAGACGCCCGGAGGCGGAGCTGGGATTGGATTGGCTCACTTCTAACGCGGAAAGGTCCCTTTTTGAGCCACAGGTGAATTTGTTCATCACCCTCCATGACAGCACGGCCAGCTGCCTAGCGCTTGCTATAAAATGAGTAACTCAGTGGTCTCGGAAATCTGCGACAGAGTTCGTTAAGGGACGCTTCTACAAACAGCAGTGACCGTACGGAAGTTCTGAGTTCAGGCACTTAGAGCATGTTTTTAAAATACTCCCGTACGATTCCAAAAATCAGCCAGACTGGTGAGCTTGAAGATTCTCCCTTTATGGGGATTAGCTACTCTATAAAGGGGAATACGAACGCCATTTTAAAAATTGCAAACGTTTATGATATGAAAGTGAAAAGGATTGAGGCGCGGGTAGGGAGAGAGAGAAAAGGCTCAATGAAAACCCAGTAAGCATACATGAAACGGCATAAGGAAATGTGCTACTTCATATTTTAAAAGTTTCATCTTCCCTGCTGAGAAAAGGGAGAAAGCCTTCCAGGGCCGGGATACTAGCGCCACAGTCATCAAATGCCCAAGTTCTTGACATCCTTGCAAGACAACCTTGCCTGTTGTCAAGCCTTTGTTTGTCCCAAGCAATGGGAAAGAAGATGAGCTGAGGGTAAGAGACTCGCCTCAAACACCTTTAAGGTATTTTCCTGGAAGCTGCAGCTTGAAGAAAGGATCGGGGATCTTGAAAACAGCAATGACAATTATTAAATTTGAGGAGCAGGAATAAAAAAAAGAAAAACAGATCCTAAGGGACATGTGAATATACTATCCAACAGACAAACATGTACGATGTGGAAGTCAGGAGAACAGGGACATCAGGGTGGCTGGACAGTCACCCAAAGTTACTCTGTAATGTTGGGGCATCCAACTCTGGCCTACAAGCCTAGCATATCTGACAGATATTCCTGTGAAGCAGAGAGAAGAGCAGCCCAGAAGGGGGGAAACAAGTGGGTTTTATAGTGTCTCTAATAACTTAAGGGCAGGTCCCTCCTCTGTAGTAATATGGGGCGGCAGGGCTGCGTCCCCCACACCCGGCCGCCCACATGGCTAGCTTATGCCCCGAAATAACAACACGGACACTGTATTCTTTTAAACACTGCTTGGCCCATTCTCTTCTAGGCTAATTCTCACATATTAATTTAGCCCATTTCTAATCATCTGTATGTAGCACCCCAAGGTGCGCTTACCGGGGAGATTCTAGCCTATGTCCATCCTGGGTCGGAGCTTCATTCTGGGAGCGGGGCATGGCGTCTCTCTCAGGCGTCTGCTCCTGAGAGCAGAGCTGTCGCGACTCTGAGCTCACTTCCTCTTCCTCCCAGCATTCTGTTCTGTTTGCTCCTCCCACCTATCCTCTAACCAATAAAATGGGCCAGGGCAGTGCCTTTATTAGCCAATGACCTTCCTCCATCATTTCCCCTTTTTCGGTTTAAACAAAAAAAAAGGCTTTAACATAGCAAAATTACATAACAAAACAGTTATCAAGTAAAAGTTACAATAATCTTTATCATAACTAAGGAAAACTATAACTATAACTAACTATTCTTAACTCCATCAAAGATTCCAGAAAGATACAATATTACCTAAGTAAACAAGAACTAAGAAACTTCAAACTCTAGAAATGACAGAGACATCTTGCTGCCTGGACAGTCACCCAAAGTTCTTTTGTACCGTTGGGGCATCCATCTTCAGCCTTCAGGCCCATGGTATCCAGCAGACATTTCCATAAAGCAGGAAAATTCAAAGTCAGTTCAGTCACTATCTGTTGTGTCCTGCAGAATGTCTCGTAGACTCTTTCAAAATGAATCAGGAACCCCGAAAGATCATCTCACCTAAGGCAAGTTCAGTAGTCCTCTCTCTGCGGGTTCTCTGCGTCCAGTTTATGCAATAGTCCAGGCAAGAGCAGTTTCTTGCCCAAATGGCTATCAATCTCCATAACGAGCCTCTTCGATGCCCATCATCCTCTTGAAGTAGATTGGTGCTGCCAGGAGCAGAGTGTCTCATTGTCATGAAAAGTCCTAAGTTATTAAAACATTTAAAATGCCATATTCTATAATCTTTGAAAAATATGAATAATGCCTATCTAAAATATATCTCTATATACCTAGAAAATCTAACTAACATGACTACAAGCTTTACTATTATCAATGATTATCCATTAACAACCTGTATTTCCTAATTATACAGTACATATTAATAATGAACTACACAATCACAACACCTTAATCAATATCAGAAATACATATACATATAACAGAATTGACCGTAAATCTCTATCAATAAAGCAAAATCTATACTAAAGCAAATTATTCATACCTATATCATATCCCCCTTTAAATGTAAAAGAACATTTATAAACATTTTTTGGGAATATGGGCACAGTTATTTCTCTCCAAACTGCTTCCTGCTGAATGGGGGCGTCGTTAATTAGGTCTTTCATGGTATAACCTGTGTGTTAGTTTCATCTCAGTTGGCAGTTGAGCGAAGCAATTTTCTGAAGATGTTCACAACAATCATTCAGGAGGGCATGGTCCATCATACCAAATTGGAGTAGAAGAAATGAACAGCGTCTCATCCTCTGTGAAAACAAAATAAGAAACTCCTTTCCAAAGCATCATGTCCTTAGGTCCAAATTTCAAATTCAAGGCATCAAAATATCTATGTTGGATTAGCTCAGCAGCATTTATAAATAAATATATTTTAGTAGCTTTTGCTCTTTCCTCAGCATTCAAACAATTCAAAGAGAGCATAATAGCATACAGTATCAAAATTCTCTGTGTATTTTCCATCTTTGTGCAGCTTTGTTTTAACCTCTATTTAGTTTATTTTTACTTTTAACTCTTTGCTTTTTGAGACAGGTTCTCTGTATCTTTGACCTGAAGTAACTCTGTAGACCAGGCTGTCTTTGAACTCTCAGAGATCCGCCTGTCTCTGCCTCCCAGGCATTGGGATTAAAGGTGTAAGCTACTACACCTTGAACTCACAGAGATCTGTTTGTCTCTGCCTTCTAGGCACTGGGATTAAAGGCGTGTGCTACCACACACAACAACTCTCTTCCTTTTTTTTTTGTTACTTTTAAGAACTTTAAATTTTAGTCTGCATATATTTTTAACACACTTTAAACCATTCAGAAATTTTCTCTGTCTTTGAATCTCTCTTTACTGTATATCTCTCTTTTTCTGACCACATGAATCTTTAATTTACCAAGCAATCTCAGTAGGACTAAAGGCGTGGCTTTGCCAGCTAGATCCAGTCCATTCCTTAGCTTTCCAGCCTCATGGCTGAGGTACCGGCCAGAGCCGCATTCAGTGCCACAAGCCTACAGTGTTTCAATGTCCCTGTCAGCAGGCGAGCTTAAGCAGCCTGTGCTTGCAAACCGCACGAACTGCCTGTGTAAAAGAGTCAGAGTTTGCCCTGGAAGGGCAGCCCAGAAAGCCAGCATTTTTAAACGGCACAGCTTTTTTCCTGCTACGGCTGAAAACCGAAAAGCATGCATTCAGCTTTTCGTCAACACCGTTTAAGTGTTTTGTAGCAGGAACTCTTAATGAGCTGCAGGCTTTGCAGCTAAAGCTGAGTCAGGAAGCCTCTCTTAGATGAGGCGCTTGCTTGCCTCTGGCAAGCAGAGCAGACCCGAGAACACAGCGAGTCTAGTTGCCATCAAACTAATCGTAGCACTTTACTCCAAATGCTCTATTCAAAAGCTCTGTCTCCCGCAGGAGTCAGACAGAGATCACAATGGCGGCACAGCCCCAGGAAGTCATGCTTTAAAATGACACAGCATTTTTTCTGCTACTGTTGCCGAATCAGGAAATCTCTCTACAGCACGCCACCAACAAACAGCAAAAATCTGTGTTAAACTCTCTCTCCCTTATTTTTAAGCCTTCTCAGGTTTTTTAAATGGGTTTAGTTGTCCACACGTCTGGGCGCCAACTGTAGTAATATGGGGCGGCAGGGCTGCGTCCCCCACACCCGGCCGCCCACATGGCTAGCTTATGCCCCGAAATAACAACACGGACACTGTATTCTTTTAAACACTGCTTGGCCCATTCTCTTCTAGGCTAATTCTCACATATTAATTTAGCCCATTTCTAATCATCTGTATGTAGCACCCCAAGGTGCGCTTACTGGGGAGATTCTAGCCTATGTCCATCCTGGGTCGGAGCTTCATTCCGGGAGCGGGGCATGGCGTCTCTCTCAGGCGTCTGCTCCTGAGAGCAGAGCTGTCGCGACTCTGAGCTCACTTCCTCTTCCTCCCAGCATTTTGTTCTGTTTACTCCTCCCACCTATCCTCTAACCAATAAAATGGGCCAGGGCAGTTCCTTTATTAGCCAATGACCTTCCTCCATCACTCCTCCCAGGAGATTTTTCCTGTCTTGGGTAGATCAGGGTCCCTGAGCTGAGCCTGCTGGGTCTCTTCCTGACCCAACCAAGCCAGGTTATGGGTAGTAGATATCCTTTGGCCTGTGACAGAATTCCCTTTAGGGAGGAATGAGGAAACATCAGTTATCCAATCAATAAGATCCCTGAGACCCAGGGTGTCCTAGGAAGTTTCATGACAACTTGACACAAGGTATAGTCATCTGAAAGAAGGGGAACTTAATTGAGAAAATGCCTCTCTAAGACCCAGCTGCACAGTATTGTTGAGGATATTCAGTCACACCATGAACTCTGATTTTGCATGTGTTAATTAAATAAAATTAACATTGGGTCAGGAGGCTGAGTTAGCAACTAGTTGGCAGAAGGTAATCATAGAGCCTCAGAGGGCATCCAGAAGATAGACACAGGAAGTAGTAGGGAAGGATTGGTAGAGGTATGACTCTTTTGTTTGGCA